TAGTGGCAGATGAAAAATGGTACCTCACTGCAGTTTTTGTTTGTACTTTCCTAATAAGTGATGTTGAGCATTTTTTCATGTTTTATTAGCCATTTGGATAGCCTCTTTGATGAAATTCCAGTTCAAATATTTTTGTCCATTAAAAAAGATTGTCTTTTTCTTACTGATTTTTATGGAGTTCTTTATATTTTCTAGATAGAAGTCCTTTGTGTGATATATTTGTTGTGGAATTCTTCCACACTATAGCTTGCTTTTAACTCTTATATTTTTTCAATCAGAAGCGTTTAATTTTAATGAACTCATTTATATATATTTTCTTTTAATGTTAGTGCTTTTTGTGTCTTAAGAATTTTTTGCCTGCTCCAAGATCATGAAGATATTCTCCTATGCTACCAAGAAGTTTTATTGTTTTACTTTTCACATTTAGATTTATAACTCCTTTGAATTGATTTTTGTGTATGGTGTGAGGTAAGGGTCAAAATGATTTTTATCTATATAAATATCTTGTTGACCCAGCATTATTTATTGAAAGGATTATTCCTTCTCCATTAAATTGCAGTGGCATCCTTTTCATAAAAATAAGTAATCATATGCTTATGAATCTCTGTCTGGATTCTGTATTTTGTCCTTATGATGCATTTGTCTAATAAAGTGCCTTACATAATCCCAGCACTTTGGGAGGCCAAGGTGGGTGTATCACTTGAGGTCAGGAGTTTGAGACCAGCCTGGCCAACATGGTGAAACCCCGTCTCTACTAAAAATACAAAAATTAGCCAGGTGTGGTGGTTCACACCTGTAATCCCAGCTACTTGGGTGGCTGAGGCATGTGAATTGCTTAAACCCAGGAGGCAGAGGTTATAGTGAGCTAAGATTGCATCACTGCACTCCAGCCTGGGCGACAAGAGCAAGACTCCATCTCAAAAAAACAAAAACAAAAACAAAAAAGCATCTTACATTGATGTAATCCTGATATCAGGTAGTATAAGTTCTTCAGTTTTGTTTTTTGTCTTGATTTTCTTTTAGCCCATTTTTAGTGTTTGGCATTTACATACAGATTTTAGGATCATCCTGTCAGTTTCCACAAACAACCTGATAGATTTTGATCGGAATTTGCATTGACTCTGTAGATCAATTTGGGAGAGTTGACATTTTTGTAATATTGAGTCTTCTAATCAATGAACACAATATAGCTCTCCATTTGTTGTCTTTAATTTCTCTAAGTAATGTTTGGAAGTTCTCTCTGTAGTATTCTTGTACTTCTTTCATTAGATTTGTTCTTTTTATTGTTATTGCAAATGCCATCTTTTAAAATTTCACCTTGTAATTTTTTGTTTCTTGTGTATATAAATACATTTTTGTATCTTGACCTTGATTCCAGGGATTTTGCTGTATTCAGTTCTTAATCTTAATAACTTATTTGTAGAATTATTTGGATTTTCTATGTGCATAATCACTGTATGTGATGGATAAAGAGCTTTGTTTCTTTCTTGTCTGATTCTTCTCTCTCTCACTTTTTTTATTGCCTCATTGCTCTATCTAGGACCTCAATTATAATTTTGAATAGAAATGATGATAGTATGTACTTTGTCTTATTCCCAATTTCATGGGGAAAGCATTCAATATTTAAAATATGGCTCTTGCTTAGAAGTGTTGAAACCTTTTTATCGATTAAGAAAATTCTCATTTCTAATTAATGGTTATTTTAATCATGAACATGTGTTGAGTTTTAGCAAATGATTTTCTGCATTTATTGAGATGATCATATGATTTGTTTCTCCTTTATTTGTCAATATGGTAATCACATTTTTAAAAATGTTAGAACAGTTTTGCGTTTCTATCATAAATTCAGCTGATGTGCTATTATTTTAGTGTTTTGTTGGACTCAGTTTGGTGATATTTTGTTTAAGAATTTGTTTAGGAGAGAGATTGGTGTAAGTATCTGAATAGTGCCTCCCTTATCATTCTTGATATTTACGATCTGTGCCTTTCTTCCCCCCTTGCCTGGGGTTTATCAAATTTATTATTTTATCAGTGAACTTACTTTGACTTTTTTTTTTGCTATTGTATGCTAATTTTCTAATTTATTAATTTCTGTTCATAGTTAGTACTTTCCTAATATTTTTGGCTTTGGGTTTTCTGTTTTTTCTAACTTTGTGAAAATGATACTTAGATTATTGATTTTCAACTTTTCTAACATATGCATTCAAAGCTCTGCATTTTCCTTAAGCATGGCTTTAATAGTATCCTCTTAAATTCTGTCACATTTTTTCTGCTCAAAATATTTAAAAATAGCCATGTGTTTTTTTCTTTGACCACAAGTTATTAGACATTTATTGCTTAATTTACAATGGTTTAGGATATTCTAAAAATCTTGTTGATTTCTAGCTTAATCCAGCTATTGTCAAAGAACATGCTATTAACATTTTAGTCTTTTGATATTTTTGAGACTATTCTTATGGCCTGGATATGATCATTTTTGCTGAGTGATAGACATGCACTTGAATAGACTATACAACATATTCTGTAGTTGTAGTTGCAGAATTTGGTGCACATAGATTGGGTCAAATTCATTAATTGTATTGATCAAAGTTTCTATCTACAGTTTTTCAGTCTGCTTATTCTGTCAGTTATTGGGATGGATAAGCAAAATTTCTCACTGTGATGATGAATTTTTCTACTTTTCATTCTGTCAGTTTTTAAATATATATTTTGAGGATATGTTATTAAATACATACAAACTTATAATTGTTATAATTCCTTGTTGTATTGTACCCCTTTCGTCTCTGTACCTCTCATAATGGTTCTTGACTTACTGTTTACAGGTCTTATAGTAGTATATACCAACTCTCCTTTGTTAGTTGGTTAGTGTTGCATGGTATATCTTTTTATATACTTTAAATTTCCTGACTCTATTTTTAGTTGTTTGTTTTATAAGCCGCATATAGCTGGCTTTTGTTTACTTATCTCACCTGACAATCTTTGGAGCAGCTAATAGTTCATTTACATGTAAAGTACTTGATAATATAATTGAGTTTAAACTTCCCATTGTACTATTTGTTTTCTAACTGTCCTATCTGTTCTTTGTTCTTCTTTTCTTCTTTCTTGCTTTTAAAAAAATTAATAAAGCAATTTTAATTCAGTTTTCTTCTCTCTTTTCTTGATAGTTATACGTTGTGTTTTACTCTTTTGGCAGTTATCCTAGAGATTATAGCATCTATTTTCACTTATGAATATACTTTAAATTAGTATTTTAATCCTTCCGTGATGATGTAGTGTTATTAGAATACTTTGACTCTATAAACCCCTTCCTCTTTTTGGAATGGTTGTATCATTTTAATTCCACACATGAATAAAATAACCTGATACATTATTATTGCTGTTTTATACAGTATTTATTTATATTTATCATTTATTTTCATTCCTTCATGTAAGTCTGTGTTTCCCTTTGGGATTATTTTCTTTTTGCTGAAAGAACTCCCTTTAGTATTTCTATTTTTACCTGTTTGAAAGTATTTTGTCTTAATTTTTGAAGCATATTTTTGCTGCATGTAGAATTCTAGATTGACAGTTTCTTTCAGTACTTTAAAGGTGTAATTTCATTGTCCTCTGTTTTCCATTATTTTTGTTGAGAAATCGGCTGTCAGTCTCACTTTAGTCCTTTAGAGGTGATGTGCCTTTTTCCTCTGTGTGTTAAAATTTTTTTCTTTGTCTTTGGTATTGAGGAGTTCTATTATGATGTGCTTGAGGCACTTTTTCTTTACTATTTATCTTGTTTGAGGATCATAGAGGTTCCTGAATCAGTTTTAGAATATTCTTTAATTACAAATTTTTTTTTTTTGAGACAAAATCTTGCTCTGTGGCCCAGGCTGGAGTGAAGTGGTGTGATCTCAGCTCACTGCAACCTCTGCCTCCTGGGCTCAGGTGATCCTCCTTCCTCAGCCTTCTGAGTAGCTGGGACTGTCTACATGTGCCACCACACCTGGCTGATTTTTTTTTATTTTCAGTAGAGATAAGATTTTACCATTTTGGCCAGGCTGATCTCAAACTCCTGACCTCAACTGATCCACCTGCCTCAGCCTACCAGAGTGCTGGGATTACAGGTGTGAGCCACCACCCCTGGCCAGTTTGAGAATATTCTTAGCAGCTGTCTCATCAAATAGTATTTCTTCTGGTCTGATCACTTTCCTCCCCTCCTAGAAGTACAATTTTATATCCTTTAGATCTTTCACCCTGTTCTATTTGACTCCTAAACTCTTTTTCCTATTTTCCATTGTATTTTTTCCTCTTTAGTTTGGAAATTTTCTAATGACATATGTTTCAATTCACTAATGTTCTCATCTTCTGTTCTTATTTTTATTTTATTTTGTTAGGGCTTTGTGGAAGTATAACTTATACATCATAAAATTCAGCCATTGCAGGTGTAGCATTCAATGATGTTAGTTAAATTCACAGAGTTCTGCAACCAGAGAAAGAAAATCTTACCTTATTCTTTGTCTTTTCTGAAATTCTTATTTGGTAGATTAGTAGATACAAACAGACCTGATAGAGCTATAGTTATTTAATTACATCCAGGGAATATCAGGGAATACTAATGGCTACCTTATCTAAATGGTGAAAGTAGTTTCTAAATTATAAAGTACTATTAATATATACTTTTACTCATCCAAATAAAAAATTATATTTAATAACATATATATCTAAACCCTTGGAAAAAATAAAATGCTAAAATGCTATACAATGTAAGGTGTTATTACCATGTGCGTAGAGGTGGTTCCTGCTGGGTTTTTTTTCTTTTTCTTTTTTTAGAAATAGGGTCTCACTATGTTGTCCAAGTTGTTCTTGAACTGCTGGGCTCAAGTGATCCTCTTGCCTCAGCCTTCCAAAGTGATAGCATTAGAGGCCTGAGCCACTGTGCCTGGCTGAAGTCTATGTTTTTTTGATGGAGATACAAAAATAGGACTTTTTTTTTTTTTTTTTTTTTTTTAGCAGTAAATCATGTAGGCTACTGGGTAAGTGAATATTGAGGTGCTAGTAGAACTCTGTACCATTGGTACTTACCTTACTGCCTTGGAACTCCTATATTTTGCATACATGCCTGTCCCCCCCTGTGAATTACAGATTTTTTGAGGAAGGTAACAATGTCTTGCTCATTGTTAGTATCGTTGTATGGTACCTCGAACATGGGACGTATTCAACAAATGTTTGCTAAGTGAATGAAGTTTTGCAGCCGACACTTTAAAAAATGATAAGACATATTTTATTCAGTACTACTTCAGCAGGGGAGAGACCTCAGCGTTACCAGAGCTTAACTGAACTGAACAAAAGACAGGAGCCCTTTTAAATGCTGGGATATACTAAACAAAAGGTACCAAAAGACATTAAGGGTGATTTGTGTGTGTAGTTAGGCAATGTGGGTTTGTTAATTGGTGTTTATCTGGAGAAGCAATTGGTTCTTGTGTCTTTAGGACAGGAAATATAGCTTTGCAATTTGGGACAAGATGCCCACCAGCTAGGCTCTTGCCCTCCTACAAGAACTGGGCAACAGGAGAGGTATCTCTCTGGATGTTTACGTTTCAAAGAGGTGGCTCCCAGGTCCTTCAGGAGCTGTTTCTGAGTAGTAGAGGATTTACATCTCAAAGGTACAAGGAAAAGATTTACAGTTGCAAGCTTTCAAGAGTAAACGCTCTAGAAAAGGAAGGTCAGGGACCTATTATCAGGTGTTGGCTAGAATGAACAGAAAGTTATTTTGGCTTTAGAAATAATTTGAGAAAGCTCTGAGCTTTCTCAGCTAGGCATGTTCAGGAGGTGGTGATGTCATCGTAGGGACATGGCCTTGAGCTGATAGAACCTGAGCTAGTGTTTGTTCAAATGTCTTAGTATGGAGGGTTGATGAAATGGGTTGTGCTGAAAGTTGCAGTTTGTATAGGCCAAAGTGGAGGCCTAGTTGAAAAGAGGACTAGAGGAGCCTGACTAAAGGTTGGTCAAGGAGAGGGTCTTTGTCAATAATGCAGGGCAAGGAAAGGTAATTTATGCATGGAAATTCAGGATGAAACCAGAAATGGGGTGGAAATCAAGCATACCTATAAGAATTTAACATCCAGCACTGGCCAAGAAAGAACTAGTGTTTAGTTAACCAGGTCTGCTATATCTGTTATTTCTACTTAATCATTTCAATACACCTGTGAGGTCAGTACTGTCTGTATGTTACAATCAAGAGACAGAAGCACAGATATTTTAAATAACATGTTCAGGGTCATATAGTTAGTGATCAGTGGAGTTGGGATTCCAACTCAGATTTTTTTTACTTCAAATGACTCTGATCATCAGTATTTATTTTAATATTGTTATATAGCAATTTGCTTTCCTCAGAAGTGATTTACATTAATAACAGTTAAGATTGCTAAGCTGCTTACTAAGTGGCTGATCCTAAGAAGAACATTTAGCCAGGCTTAATAAACATTGAGGAGTGAGAACATAAGAGTGTTAGTAGAGCTTTGCTTTCTTAGGGTGGAAATGCCCTCAGTTGTCACTTGAATTCCTGCTAACACCCCAATACATGTGGAAAGGTTACGCTTAATTATATATGATATATATAATGATCTATATATATAATGATCAACCTATAATGTTGGAGCTGGAAGGTCTTTAGCCATCAAGCCCAGAATCTTAATTTCTCAGATAAAAAAGCCATGACCCAGAAAGTTTAAGTGATTTACCCAAGTGATTTACTCAAGATCTCAGTCTGTGCATTAGAGAGAGCTGGGCTTGATTTAGCCAAAAATTATTGTGGCCCACTTTGGGGATTTACCCTCAGATGTTGTCATCACAAAATGTATCAAACGTGAAACTGCCACTTCGTTGCCAGTGCATTCTTTTAGCAAATAACCTTAAACGTTGGAATTGCCCTTATGGGGAGATGATGGTACCTCAGCAGTGCCCCTCAGAGCCCAATCAGGTGATTTTGCAGAGCTTTCTGTTTTAAACACTTCTGTCTAAAGTGTTTAGTATGATGCTATAGGTCAGGCAAAAATATAGTAACAGCAACATGACAACAACAACAAAACAACCAACGTGGATAAACAAACGAACCTTAAAAATTTTTTGTCACTACAATGTTTTAACAATTTCAAAGATTGACATAGACCTCTTCCCTTACTTATGTTAATACCTATTAGTTTATGCTGTTTTTAGTGTTAAACGGTAAAATGTTTATTCCCTTGTTATAGTCCATTACTGCTGTGCCTTAATTTCATCTTGACAGTTTTCCTCTGCCTTTTTGGCATCCCATTCATTCTGATTACACCAGTGAATCTGTTACCAGAAAGGGGTCCCAACCAGACCTCAAGAGAGGGTTCTTGGATCTTGTGCAAGAAAGAATTCGAGGTGAGTCCACAGAGTAAAGTGAAAACAAGTACTTTAAGAAAGTAAAGGAATTAAAGGGTGGCTATTTCATAGACAGACTAGGGCATTCTCAGAAGCAAGAGGAGAAACACGTCTGCCTTAGGTACAGTGCTTATTTCTATATAACAAAGGAAAAAGTCATGGGGAGATGTACTTTACTGCAAGGGTTTGTGACAAAGTATTGTTAATCTTTGTGTAACTACTTTGGAAAGAATCTATATTATCTTTAAAGCAAAATATTATTATTATTATTATTATTATTTTTTGAGATGGAGTCCCACTCTGTTGCCCAGGCTAGAGTGCAATGGCACGATCTCAACTCACTGCAACCTCTGCCTCCTAGGTTGAAGCAATTCTCCTGCCTCAGCCTCCTGAGCAGCTGGGACTACAGGCATGTGCATTATTACGCCTGGCTAATTTTTATATTTTTAGTAGAAACGGGGTTTCACCATGTTGACCAGGCTAGTCTCAAACTCCTGACCTCAGGTGATCCACCTGCCTTGATCTCCCAAAGTGTTAAGATTCCAGGCATGAGCCACCGTGCCTGACTGCAAAACTTATTCTTAAACTAAGAATGCTTTTGTTCATAAGATATTGGGACATCAGCACATTTCCTGGGTCTGTTATTTCCTGGGTTTGTTATGTCCTGGGTCTATTCAGTAAACATTACTCACTTCTTCCCTTAACTGTAAATATCCTATGACTAAAAAGTCTAGCCTCCTGGGAATGCAGCACAGTAGGTCTCAGCCTCATTTTACCCAGCCCTAATTCAAGATGGAGTCACTCTGGTTTGAATGCCTCTGGCACATTTCCCGCCTCCCATTTATAAGGGGAGCCTTAATCCTAAAGGTTGCAGAGGGATAGAAATTTATCTTCTGTAGCTTCTTCAGGCTGAACAGGGGCTATGATGTTCCTGCCTAACAATATTTAGGGTCTCTTGTATTTAGAGTTGGGAGGAGTTTAGTCAGAAAGTGTTAGTATGGTGAAGATCATTCAAAACTCGGAGTCCTGATGAAAGATGATACCTGGAAGATTAATAAGTATTTAAGAAAACACTGAATAAGCTTCTTCTAAATTATAGACAAAGAGTACCACAGCAATATATTCTAGAACTGTAAAGCAAAATCAGTAAAATTGTCTCAAATAAACTAAATAAGACAGCTTTCTATGAACTGGGGAATTGTGGGAACCAAGGTGATATGGGGTTGCTAGCTGATTTCATTATGTGTGCAGAATTAGAATATTAATTCAGATTTTTATGTTACTTATCCCGCTTGTTTCTTTTGAGCAGCAACCAGAGATCACTGGTTGGTTCACAGGAATAAGCAGGGTCAGTCTAAATTGCAGAAAAAACTCAAAAACAATGGACGAGACTAGAGTCTAATAACAGGTGTTCCATAGTTTGTGAAACGTAATTTTTCTATCTCCAGTCCCTATTTTTATTAAAACAAACCATGGTAGGACTGATTTGTTTGCAAAATAAATTTTAGTCTTATTGTATGTGGCCTGGTTGTTTGTATAAAGTGAAGCAAGAATAATAATTTGCCATATAGTGTCTTTTGACTTTGATGGAACTGTGTTCTATAATCTAATCTTAGGTTAGACTTTTTAAAGCCTTGAGACCAGTCATGGATTTATATGTGCAAATATGAGCTGGGTAAGTTTCTCTCCTCTGGGGGGTCCCAAGATATTTGGGGCCCCAGGGCCTGTCAGAAAGTGACATTCTTTACTTACCACAGGTCAGGAGCCCTGTACAAGGCTCAAGAGTCCTGTACAAGGCTCAAGATATGAGGTCAGTTTTCTTAGGGGCTTTAATTGGCTCTATAAATGAATTTTGATTCCTTAAAGCAGTCTGTTTACATTTGAAAGCATGTCAGTCATTCCAGTCAAAGCCTTGGTAAAATAACTAGCGTCTCCAATTGTGTCTTGTCACAAAGGAAAAAGTCTTACTGGACTTACGTAAATAGCTATATCACTGTAAGTTAAAAATACTCACAAATAGTTGCCAAATTTGGGAGAAATCAGGTAGAGAGAACGAAATGTGCTCTAAATTTTGTTTACAGTGGTATATAATACTCAATTGTTAAAAGCTGTAAATAGCTCAAAATAAAAGTTTTCTTGACTCTGAAAAACAAAACAGAAAGGCAAAAAGTCATAAATAGATTATTTTGGTCTTTTATTAGTTGTCTATGCAATTCCTGTTTTTCTCAATATTTATGAATACATTAGTTTTCCAAGAGTCTTGGAAGTTTTCTTCTATTTTAATAGCATACATTTCAAAGCTGTCAAAGTCCTACTTTATAAGAGTACTTGTCAGAGTCCTATAGCTGATTATAAACTGCCTTTTGAAGAGAATCAAAACAGGACAATTGCTTGTGGATGACAAAAAGTCTTAGGGCAGCTATAGTCAGAGACACAATTGACAAGGAAATTTGGCTACCCTTGTGCCACATAATAATTTAAGACAACAATTATAACTATTAATGATAACGTATACTAAGTTATACAAGAATTATTGTAGTTTTGCATAATTTTGGAACACATACCAATGACACATATAAATAACCCAAGGAATGTCCGATGCCATTTTGTATTTGACAATACGTCCTATATGATTTTAGTATGTCAAATAAGTCAAATATGCCATTATTTAACTTCAGGGGACCTCATATCTAAAAGGATTATCAAGTCAGGAAAGAATTATAATTTGATTTTGGAAAATTTGTTAAATAGCAAAGGTGTAAAACATGTTACGTTATAAAATAGAATCTCAGGTCACTGTAAGTCATTTATTTAGCCAAAATGATAACTTAAAGATTTAAAAAAGGCAAAAACTTTTACCCATTGATAAAGGGAAGAGTTAGCTTTCCAAATAATGTCTCTTTTCTCTCCTTTCTTTTTTTTCTTTATTCAAAAGGCAAACAAAAATATTTTATATTTTAATAATACCTGAAAATCTTGTTCAAAAGAGAAAGCCAAATTTCGCTTTTGTGTTAATGTACTATTAATGTCAAATCCAATTTTTAATAAAATCATACGGATCAAACCTACTCACTCCGAATCAGTTTGACCGTAAAGTAAGATTCTCATAAACCTTTTATAAGCCTTTACATTTTTTGTTGATGGCAAGATGGCTGCCTTTGCCTTTGCCAGTGTAGTGAGAGCAGCTTCAGGAATCTTATAGCCCCTGAATGTTTTGGCATCTTCAGCCTACCAAAATTGTGTCAAGAATGCCTCTCTTATTTCTGCATTGTCTACTGGACGTTTTAGTCATATTCAGACACCAGTTGTTTCCTCCGCTCCCAGACTTACCACATCTGTCAGAAACCTGACATGTGGGCATCCTGCAGTGATCTTTAATAGAGCGGCCCTTTTGCTTCCAAGTGTTCTGAAGCTGCCAGTCAGATCTCTAACATTTGTCTGTACACAAAAAGGCAAGAGAAAGACTGTGAAAGCTGTCATCTATAGGTTTCTTCGACTTCATTCTGGCCTTTGGTTGAAGAGAAAGGCTGGTTATAAGAAAAAATTATAGAAAAAGACACTTGCAAGAAAAAAAAGCGATTGAGGGAATCTGTGTTCTGCAGTAAAACCCAGAGTAAACTCTTAGATAAAATGATGACTTCCTTCTGGAAGAGACGAAAAACTGGTATGATGATGATCCTTATCAAAGTATTATGATTGAACAAACCTGAAAGTATAGATCAGAAGTTTCACTTGTTTCTCAGCTATTGAATATGTATCTTTGTGTACATGATATCTTCGCAAAAATGGGTAAATATAAAACTTCATGTAAATTGTACCAACGAATAGGTAAACATACAGTGCCAATGTTAAACTTATAAAAGTTTTAAAACTTAAACAATTTTTTGCTGAAGAGTAGGTCAGTGCTCTAAGCAAACCTTGTTGTGCGTTTTTCCAGTATTCAATTTATGGAAAAACTAAATAATATCCTTTTAATTTTAGTCACTTTGTTCACACACAGAATTTCTTTTACAAGATTAATTTTTTACAAACCTTCTACCATTTGCTCAAATTTTTAGCTTTATTCTATCTAAGTTAAAATAATTATTCAGCCCTCTTTCCTTTTCTTTCTTTCTTTTTTTTTTTTTTTTGACAGAGTTCTGCTCTGTCTCCCAGGCTGGAGTGTGATGGCACAGTCTTGGCTAACTGCAACCTCCACCTCCTGGGTTCAAACAGTTCTCGTGCCTCAACCTCCCAAGCACCTGGGATTACAGGCACACACCACCACACATGGCTAATTTTTGTATTTTTAGTAGAGATGGGGTTTCACCATGTTGGTCAGGCTGGTCTTGAACTCCTGACCTCAGGTGATCCACCTGCCTTGGCTTCCCAAAGTGGTGAGATTACAGGCATGAGCCACCACACCTGCGCCCCCCTTTATTTTTTTTGAGATAGAGTCTTGTTTTGTTGCCCAGGCTGGAGTGCAGTGATGTAATCTCAGCTCACTGCAATTTCCGGCTCTTGAGTTCAAGTGATTCTCCTGCCTCAGCCTCCTGAGTAGCTGGGACTATAGGCGTGTGCCACCACACCTGGCTAACTCTTGTATTTTTAGTAAAGATGGAGTTTCACCATGTTGACCAAGCTGGTCTTGAACACCTGGCCTCAGGTGATCTGCCCACCTCAGCCTTCCAAAGTGCTGAGATTACAGGTGTGAGCCACTATACCCAGCCACTTATTTTTCTTTAAGTCAGTTAACCAGAGCTCTTTCATATGTAAACATCACACACGTAACACATATAAATACACAGATGGAAGAAGATCTAATAGTTATAATTTTTTTTATTTGCCAGTTTTAAGTTTCTTAATTGGATTACTGGCTTCAGGCTGAAGCCCTTCAAGAAATAGGGCTAGAAAGGCGTGGAATTTCTAGGGCCTAATAAGCAGGCACAGTTGGAAGTCAAAACAGATCCTCCAAAATTAAAAGTCCCATTTTTATACTGGATCCTTGATCTCCAAAAAGA